GAAATAGAATACCAGAAAGAAGTTTGTTTTTAGGGTTTTTCTTTGTTTTGTTGACTATGCAAGGACTTTCAACTGTAGATCATAACAAACTGTGGAAAACATTTCACAGAATAGAAACGCCAGACCACTTCACTATGTGAATGAGAGACCAGTAGATAGAACAATAGGCAGTACCCAAACAGAACAAGGAAATACTGCACCGTTCACCATCAGGAAAGGTGTGTCAGGGCTGTATCCTTTCACTGTACTTATTCAATCTGTACGCTGAGCAAAGGATCCAAGAAGTTGGTTTATATGAAGAACTTGACGCCAGGATTGAAGACAGCCTCATTAACAACCTTGCTTGCTGAAAGTGAGGACGACTTGAAGCACTTGTTGATGAAGATAAAGGACTGCAGCCTTCATTATGGATTACAACGTCAATGTAAAGAAAACCAACATCTTCACAACCGGACCAATAGGTAACTTGATAAACGGGTGAAAGATGAACAAGCTGACACACGGTAACACTGTACTGTCATTTTTATTTGGTTTCTATCTTTTCGTAAACAGGTTCTTCGGGTCTGTGTGCATTTCTTCGTGGCCCTGTAGTTTTCGTTGCGGGGTTTTGTATGTGTGGCGATTTTTAGGAGCACATTTATCATCTGTTAGTGGAACAAGGGTTTCAGGTAGAAGAATGGGAACAGCACCCACCCGCAGAGCAGGTGGAGCCTGCAGATCCAGTGCACCTGTGCCGCCATTCTAAAACACAAAGTGACAGGGTCTGAAGAACAGAGAGCTGTTTTCTCACCACTCTGGAGGCTGGACATCCAATGCAGGGTACCGGGAGGACTAGTCTCTCTCCCTATCAGGAAGGCCCTTCTTGATCTCTTTCAGCTCTGGAAGTACCAGCTGTTCCTTGGTTCTAGACAGATTCCCACATGCTGTCTTCTCACTGAGTGTGACTCCTTTCCCCCGTCAGTCCTGTTTAAAAGATGCCACCCAGGAGGCATAATACCACCCATAATACCAGGAGGTATTATGAGTAGGATCCACTCTGTTCTAGTATCAAGATTTATTTAGTTGTGATGGGTTTTGTGTGGCCACATGGCTCCCATAAGAACAAGTTGACTGCATTTAGCCATCAATCGTCACAGCTTGATTGGAGGGCAACTGAGATAAATGGCTCAGCAAAGCTGGCCTCTTCCTTTTCCCCCCTCCCTGGTGGTCTGACTAGCACGTTGCCTGAGTGAGCTGCCAAAGCCACACTGAGACCTACCTAAGAACAGTTCTGTGATGTTTCCATCGCCATTGGATCCACAAGACTTTTGCACCCACCAGCTGATGTTCCTGCATTCTGCATCAGTGCATGTGGCTTCATGAAACTGAAGGAGGATTTATGGACTAGTATCAGACTTATGGGCTAATATTGGATTTATGGACTTGATTTGAACTGGACTGGGATATTTTCTTAATATAAAATTATTCTTTGGCATAAAGTTCTTATACATGAGTATCCTTGGATTTATTTCTCTAGTCAACCTAGACTAATACATTAGTCATAATAAAGATTTTTCATCATGTTGAAGATCAAGGATTGCAGTCTTGTTTTGCTTTGTCTTGTTTTGGGGACATATTATTATCTCTGCAGGTCTATCTAGATAAGATAGGCGGGATAAACAATCTGGAGGAGAACATAACAGGACCGATGGGTCCAGGGGGACATGGGAGAGAAGACGGCAGGGGGGTGGGGGGGAGTGGGTATTAACAAAGGCAGGCACAAGGGAACAACAAGTGATCCAGAATCAGTGGTGAGGAGGGTGTAGTAGGCCTTTGATCAAGGGCAATGTAACTGAGATTAATTACTGAAACCCAAATGAAGGCTGAGCATGATAGTGGGACAAGAAGAAAGTAAAAGGCAATAGAGGAAAGAACTAGGAGACAAAGGGCATTTATAGAGGTCTAAATGTAGGTATATACATATGTAAATATATTTATAGATGATGATGGTGAAATAAATCTATATGCATGTATTTATACGTTTAGTATTAAGGTAGCAGACGGACATTGGGCCT